CTTTCCTTTAAAGGTTCAGTCAACATGTTTGAGAACTTGTGTTGTGGTCACCTGCACAAGTTTGATGCTGTCGTCAGTAAGTCATCTTTGCCTACTTTGAAAGAGCCCCAGTCTCGTCTGAATGTCATAAAAAGCCGAATTTCCGGCTTTTGCGACATTTTTCTGGTCAAAATGAAATGTTTTTCTTGTACGACAATAAGATGCTTTTTCTTTGGGCAACAGTAATATCGGCCACAAAGCTTCCAAAGGCTGGACAAACATATGCGAATGCGAACCAGACGGACCTGGCGCAACACATGGAGAAGCGAGTTATCAACGGAGAAAACGCTGCGCCGTTGGCTTTTCCTTGGGCCGTTTCCATTAAAGGAGTCTACCCAGGCACCCAGACGACAACGTATTGTGGCGCATCGCTGATCAGCGAGGCATGGCTCCTGACCGCGGCTCATTGCTTCATCGGAAAAACTTCGCATGGTGACACGTAAGTGTAAAGCAAGTTTGGGCAAGGATACAGGCTGCATAAATGAGGAGAATTAAACAAAAAATCACTTGTAAAGGATGATTAGTTTACACATGTTATTCTAGGTCAGTCGAATGACGGCTTTCGATCTCCAACCCAGTTCTGGTGGGCACATTGATGTGGAGCTGCCTTATTTTTTATCCACCTTTGTTCAAGTTAGCATACAAACATTTTCACATTTAGATGAGATTCATTCGCCCTATTTCGTCAAGGTGATAAAGGACTGCGAGTTAAATTTTACCAGCCCTTAATCAGCTTAAAACGAAATGGGATGAATACATTTCATATAACTGATTTACTGCTAATCTCGAGTTCCTACTTATAAACATAAATAAGTAGTATGAATAATCGTCACAGCAAATATAGCTTATATCCACATCTGCCCTTTAGCCCAAGGGTATCATATCAATATGGCGTAGTAGTTAACCCTAATAATAAACGAAAAAAGTCACATTTTACTTATTATCGGTTATAACGTTAACCTCGATGCATCAAAATTTTGGGATAAAGGTGAACAATTCGAGCAAATGTGCTGGTGTACACCAGCTAAGATTGCATTATTTCGTTATTAGCAATTGGCCCTTAGAGCTAATTTCAGGGGATAATTATCATTTTTGTCGTGAATTAGAAAACATCAAGCGAAATATTTAACGTTACAATTCACATTAACATCTTTCCGATGTGACTACGCTTCGAGACTATCAGTGAATAAGAACCCTGTCACCCCAGGGACATATATTTGGTTTTATCTCATAATGCCATTTAATTTTACCCTCATTCAAAAAGGATATCTAATTCCGGCTGAATTAAACTGTAGATTCGATTACATTTCCCAAATGCATCAACCCCTCCAACAAGATTCCAGTTGTTGGTATGATGGAGACATTGTCACTTTATTAGACAGCAATGGACGCCAGTGGGCTACAGGGCAGATGTGACATTCAAGGTAAGCCTAGCCTCATACAAATCACATTTATATCGAGAGGAGGGATAAATCAAATGTTCACATCATATACGTTTAAGGCGGGTCGGCTTCTAAACTATCAGTAATTCTTTAATCACTCCCTTCATGTGGAAAAGAGTAAAACTTTTGCATCTGCAACCCCAGCAGAACACACGTTTGTTCCATGGGTTGTCACACTGTCCATTTAAAAGCAAGTCCTCTAATCTATGATATTTGCGGTCAAGTGTACAGAAAGCCTGATTTTGACACTGTTGAAACAGTAACAGTAGTTAGATGGTTTCTCAAGATATAGTGAGAGAACATCTAAGGATAAAACCTCAAGTTACCATAGTAGCAACCCGTATTTATCTCAACTTTTCATGGATCTTGGGTATAATAGAGCCATATTTGCGACCTCAGTCTTAGCCATTCTGACAAGTGTATTAATGGTTATGGTGTCGTCAACACTAAGGCTTTATCAATGTCTAACACCTTCTGGTGGTTTCAAATTCGACAATAAAAATAACAGAAACTTTTCCTGTAGGGCGAACCGAATGCCTACGATGAAGCCATTTGAGAGGGCTTTATATTAGCACAGCAAGTTTTTGCATGTGTACAGAATAATTATGCAATTAGTATCTTCTATATGGGTAAATGGTAGTAACAAATATCAAGATCCATCAATGACAGACATGAGCCAAGTGTGCTGATAGAAAGTCAGACATTATTTTTTCCAAGCTTGCTGCGCCTCACTGATTCACTTTGGCCAATAAGTAGATTGATAACTTACGATACATGTAAAGCAGTACTCTAATCGTTAATATATCCATTTCAGAATGGCCAATCCCGACTACTGGCATGTTCAGGCGGGAAGTGTAGTGATTGAGGTAATTTATAATGATTACAAATTCAAAGACTTCGTAATTTTAAAGTTATATATATTTGTTATTAATAGTATAATTGTTGTATGAACAATAAAAAAAGAAATTTTATTTAGCCCAATATTGGCTACTTTCAACTCTGTCATTTAATGCATTTTCAGCTGGGTTCTGGCCATTCATTTAACCAAAGGATATTAGAAAAGGGTGGGTATAGCCGAGGAAATGATGTCGAAATAAATACAAACAATCTTGGGATTCAAAGCTTGATAGCCTTGTTCAAGTCATTGATACTCGGGTGAGACATTTCAACAGTACTATAGGAGTATTGCAATCAAGCATGCAAATTTGATCCACATCTTTGACAACTTTTATTTACAGGAAAATGAAGGATAAAGCTGAGTTTGCGAGCGAGGATATCCTCCATATCCATGTTGAGAGAATTATTGTGCATCCCAATTATAAACCTGGTAAGCGAACTTTGACTTAACTATTATATCATCCTTTTCC